TCAACCAAAAATTTTAAAATATTTTTAACCAAAAATCCAACTTTCTGCTGAAATAACAAGGGGGGACGTAATTTGACAATTTGTAATAGTAATTCGCAAGTGCAAGCCACTTAATACCAAAAGTAAACAGCAATGATGGAATTTCCACTTAACCGGTGTCTGCTTAATGGAAAAAAAGAAAGTTTAATGGTTGGCACTGTGTCACGTTGTTACACAGAAAACATTTAAGACTAAGTAGTAGATGGGCTAGAGATCCAGCAGTCCTCTCTTCCAGAACCGGTCCTTAGCAGGTAGGGTTGAGATGTGTTTGTGAACTAGTACTTTTTGTTTGCTCAGTGCCAAACCTTCTATAATAACTTCTGCCAGCTTCAGCCCATGTCTGCACGCTGGTTTCCTCCTCGCTTACACATGTGCTTACGGACACGCACCGTGTACTCATGCAGGAGCAGTGGTTGGCATCCCGGGCACCTAACCAACCTTTCTGGGGTACAAGGGTGTCTTGAGAGCTGTATGAAGCTCCAGGGGCAGTCGCTGTCTATTCCCACATTAAAGTGTGTTTCTTCACAGTGCCTTTATCTGAGTAGCATTGCTTGGTTTAGTCCTAAATTTTCCTCACCCCTGTGTGTGAGCTGGTGCAGGCAGGATGCAGGAACAATCACAAAACCATGGATGAAATGCAGAGAGTAAATTTATCTTCATTACCTCACCAACTGGGGGACCCCCAGAGCAACACCCAGGCAGAAGCACACACCGCGGAGCTCGGTCTGTGCTAGAGGATCATTGAACCTGCTGTTTTTGCCTGTATTTCAGGGATTTGTGCAGGTGTAGTTTACCACTGTGCTTTGATCTTTCCCACAGCAGGGCAGGAATCTGAAGCATGTTTGATAGGGTTCCTCTGTTGCGGGCTTATGTTATCGAAACACAGATGTTCTACTTGTCCAACACACAAGGTTAAACAACAATTAGTATGATAGATGTGTTTTTCTACACCTCAGCTGCAGGTCACTTGAGCATGTTTATAATCCTCCTCACCAATCTTCCATTATTTTCCCACACCCTCATTAACTTTATTGTTGCGTTAGATATATCACTGAAACAATCTGTTGGCAATGAGGAGTTGTGAGGGAGTGTGGAGAGATTTTTTTATATTGATCAGACAAATCCTGCAGCATTTTCCATTTCTTGCTTAGATAATCCATCATCTTCCCCCCGAGTCTCTGGCACCTCTGGGGCCTTGGCAGACTAGGAGGTACCTGGCGGTTGGTGCTATCATACCCATCCATCACCTGTCCTGAAATGATGGAAGGAGTGGAAAAGATTTCTTTGTGCTCTGGCGCCAGGTCAGCACTTGTCAGTCTCCCTCCGTTTCATCACATGTTTCCGAAGTGAACCCTAAGCATGGAATAGCTGCCATTTCAACTGTGAAGCTGCCAGATATTTCCATCCTCAGCACTGCTGTAGCATGGTGTCTTCTTCAGCTCCCACAGTGGCAGCACCAAACTGCCAGTGGCTCGGTGTCATCTGAAGGGCTGGAGGTGCCAGGGTGGCTTGGGCAGCCTTTCCTCAGGCACCTCTCCCAGAAGCAAAGTGTTCACCCAGACATGAGCCCGGTCAGCAGCCATAGCTGATGGGAGAAAGGATAGAGAGGACTGGCAGGACTTGGGAAAAAGGGAAAGGAAGGAGGTAGGAGTGAGCATGTATGTGTGCACCCGACGTACAGGCACATCACTGCTCTTTTTGCTTGTGCTGTGTGGTGAAGGCTGGCTTTTCAGACCGAGGGATCTGTCAGCTAGCTAGCAACTGAAGCAGTGGTGTTTTTTTGATTGCTCTGGATAATTTTTTTAACCATACTGAAAGCTGCATTACATGGAAGTAGAAATCAGGAAGGTTTATCAGTATAACTGCATAAAGGGCAGCTGCATGGGCAAATTCCTCCAAGTTCAAACACAGCTTATGTTAGTGAGAATGTGTTTTTACCAGTATAGTATTGGCTAAAAGAAGCTATACAAGCAGAGTCACGCTTACTCTGATACAACTGTGACTGCGCTTTTACTCATATGGGAAGGTGGTTTAAGAAAGCCAACCTCCAGTCTTTGCTCATGGTCACAGGGCCAGTTAGCCCTGTGATTTCAGGGCAGAACTGCCAACTGTTTCAACCCAGGGACATTGTGTCCCTAGCTGTTGTGTCATGGCAGTCCTGGACTTTTCCTTGCCTTTTACAACTTCTGAGAGGTGGAGAAATGCGGTTGAGTTCACAAGAGGGCAAGTTGCACAGAAATCTGTGGTTTCACACCCACTGGTGTGTTCTTTGGGCTTTGTATGTGAAATGACATTTAGCAGACTGTGGGTCTGCAACATGGTGCTAGTGCCTTAGGGGTGGACTGCCTCTCTCCCTCCCTTCTGTTTCAGCAATGGAGCAAGTCTGAAGGTAGCAGCTCCTGCACGTGATGGCTGCAGCAGTATTTTCCTTCAGGATCCACAATGGTCTGACTCCTGCTCCTCATCTGTGGGCTGGAAGCTGGCTGTGCACAGGCAGCATCCACCGGAACATCTTTGGGGTCTGTCTGTACAAGGGCTCACCATCTACAGCCTCTCTGGATACACCTCAACAGGACAGTGACTGTTACGGTCTGTCCTGTCCTTGATGCCTAGATAACAAGGCCGCCTCGTGCACTCCCATTCACATAGACTTGAAGGAACAAGTGTCCTGGGTCCCTCTGGACTCAGACCTAGTGGGAGGTGGGTAACCATGACCCTGTGGTCCTCTACAACCTCAGGGCTCATTCTGTTCAGTCTTGTTTCTTTAATAAAACTACTAACGAGAAGAACAACTGTTGGGTTTCAGTTTTGCAACCCAACATTAAAAATAACATTGCAAAGTTGACCTGGCTTGCTTACCCTAGCTCTGATTTTACTGTCTCAGAGGTAATTAAGTGGCAAAGAAAAACTAAGCATACGGTGATGTTTCAGGGAGAAACAACCTGCTCGGAACATGAACAACACAGAAAATTGGTCTTGTCTCATTTTCAAGGTCCTCTCTCCTCCCAATTCATGGGAGTTTTTGCTAATGGCCTTAATGAGAAATACCAGGTCCTTATTTAATGGGGATTTCTGAATTTGTGAAATACATACTGGAAGTGTTCCTGCAGTTAGTAAGGGTTCTTACAACCGTACTTCATATGGTAGAGGAGGAGGAAGGAAGTTTTCTACCATACATGCAGGAATATTTCTCAACAAAGGAGTTTCCCCACCCACAATGCCAGCATGAGAGTCTCGTCAGAGGATGTCAGCTTGGGGCTCCACCACATGTGTGCTTCTGCTCCCTGCTGACGGGAAAGGGAGATACTTAAGTGTGTTTAATACACCCTGTAGTACTCGCTTCTTTTGTTCTATTAACTTTCATTACTGCAGCACTTCCAGGCCCCAGGCATGAACAGGAACCCAGCTGTGCCACATTTGCTCTGAGAGCAGAAGGAAAAGATAATCCTTCTCTGAGGAGGTTGTGGATGAGGATGTCTCTTTCAAACATACAGCGGGGAGCTTAAGATTTTGAAATAGGAGTATATGGAGGGATAGCTGACACCTGCACAGTCTTCTATTGCCTAATTTAATGCCTAGGATCAAAGTGTCCACAATGCTTTTAGGATGACTTGAGTGTGAAATAGCTGCTGATAGTTTGAACTTGAGGATGCTTGGCCATGCCCTGGCTGCTACATCAAGGTGCTCCAAGGAGAGCCTGGTCTGGAGCTGGTTCTGCGCAAGAAATGACTGAGTGGGATGAGACTTTAGTCCAGAAAAGAAATAACTGAGATAATATGTGATAGAGGTTTACAAACCCAAGACTGGCAAAGAGAGAGTGGGTGGGGATCAACTATTCACCATCTACTGACTTTGTCAGAGCTAGTTGAGAAGTAAATAGAGAATAGGAAGCAAGTGCTTGAGATCCTCAGCTGAAAAGAGGTCAAATCCCTGATTCTCAGGCAAAACTCTCCTGAAATCCACTCAGATAGGGGCTGAGCAAGCAGGGTGGGGCTTCTTGTCCAGTCCTTGGGACTTTGACTAGGCCCATTCTCGATCTGGTCCAGATTTACTGAATGGCACCACTTTTAGGCAGCTACCCTGTGAAGGGTGTTAATTCTTAGCAGTGACTGCTGGAGGCTGGAGTGAGGTGTCAGTAGAGTAAGTGCTCTGTAGCTTCCCTGCTTCCTACCCGCCTTCCTACGCTCTGTTCTCAAGTACCAGCTGATGGCTATGGTCAATGATAGGATACTGGGATGGACAGAACTCAGGTCTGGGCCCTGCGGAACTCTCCTGTCAGCACTGTAGAAAAGACAAAATGGAAACTTTCCTGGCGAGGGGTGCAGCAGCCTGGGCTGCAGCTTCCATGGCTGCAGCTCATGGGAACACATGGATCCAGCAGAGTAAGGGAAATTCACCAAGCGGACGCTAGTTCTGACTTCATTTTGTGGATGAATACTTACCTGTGTTTTCTGATGGTGTGCTACTGTACTTCTGGACAATATTCTGGAAATTAAGAAAAGAAATCAATATTCCACACACAGAATCTGTCCAGTTCTAATTAATGAGGTTAATAACTGAAAAAAAAAAAAACCAAAAAAGAAAAAAAGGCTGTTTCGAAACTATAGATGGCTTTGGGTGGTTTTCTGCATTTATACATCATAGCCCATGCACAGGGATGGAAAACAAGCAGTGTTTTCCGCTTCCCTTCCCCCCCCACATTTCGAGAGTGTAAGAACTTTTCTGTTTTGTGAAAAGGTTATGCTCGCGCTTCAGGGAGAGCGGTTCCAGAAAGCAGGACGTAACGGAACTGAAACGAAATAGACTGGACGCATCAAAATCAAGGCATTTAATAAACCCAAACGTCTTTTTTTCTTCCCTGAAAGCTACGTTAAAAACACCTAAATAAATGTTAGTTCAAAACTGAGAGAAAGCTCCTTGTTCTGGGGGCACATAGGAATGTTTCAAAGCAATGAAGCCAGCTAGACGGGATTATCTGGGGGATGGGGCTCAACAGGCCCGGGAAGATTTTTTCCTTGTTCTTCTCTGTTAAAAGCATCATAGATGGAATCTTTGGTGGCAGCTTTGGCCGGAGCTGAGATATCTGCGATCCCAACGTGATTTTTTTTGGCTATCCTGGAACTGGTGGTGATGGTGTATGCGTTGCTTCTGTAGCGTTTCATGGCAGACATGCAACAAATTTCTTTCATCCCTCTTCTGAAGTTGGCATTATACACGGAGTAGAGGGTTGGCTTGGAGGCTGAAGAGCTGAAAGAAACCCAGGTGACGGCCAGGAAGAGCAAGGTGCTCTGTCTGTAGTCTGTTTCCTGCGGGTGCCACAGCTGTACCACGTAGAAAGGGAGCCAGGACAGGAGGAAGACCGAGTTGAGCGTTAAGAGCATCTTGATGGTTTTCACTTTTGTTCTTGGGACAATATTCATTGTCCTCCTGACAGTCCTGCCGTCGGTGCCTATTCTCCAAATGTACCTGACGACCTTCTGGTAGAAGAGGATGATGAGGGTGGAAGGGATCAGAAACACCACCAAGAGGTGGGTGGCACCGTAGAGGGCTCCTTCCCAAGAAGCGGGGAGGAAGAAGTTGCAGTGGTGGTCGCTGTTGGAGCCGTAGAAAGAGAAAGCCGGTGATGCCAATACAGCGTCAAACAGCCAGGAGGCCAGGATCATCTTCTTGGCTTTCTCCCTGGACACTTTGAAGCTCAGGGGGTAGAGGATAGTGTAGAATCGATCCACGCATATCGAGAGGAGCACGTATATCTGGACGCCAGGGGTGAGGTACTGCACGTACCTTACCAGCTTGCACATCGCGTTCCCCAGCACCCACCTGCCATAGGTAAACTGAAGCAGCACGAAGGGCACGCTTGCGACACTGATGAGAAGGTCTGCGCAAGCCAGGGAGACGACAAAATAGTCGGTGGTGGATTGCGTCCTCCTGCTCCTGTGGATCGCTAAGCAGACGAGGGAGTTTCCAAGGACGGAGACCAGCCACAACGCTCCCAAAACCATGCTGGCTGCCGCAGTTTCCCCCAGCCTCAGCTGATACTGCAAGACAGTGTGGTTCCTGCTTGAGGGGGGTCCTATGGGTGACTCGGTCACCCCGTGGCCAGCAGGAGGGGTGGAGGTTTCGGGGTAGCTCTTGTTCTGCAGCAGGAGCAATAAGGTCGGGAGAACAAAAGGAGCGCTGCTGTTATCCATGCTGTGGACAAGCATGGCCCGGTCTTTTGCTCAGGCTGCATAAAGAGAGAAGAGAAAAGGTGCTGTTTAACAAGTGTGTGTGAAAAACCTACCTTAGCCCAGGAAAGGTAATTCTAAGTAGTATACGTGCTACTGAAAGTAGCAGATTTCAGAGAAGCGGTCCGAAATACACGGTGAGACTGTCTGGTACAGCAGAGGCCGCTAAGGTTCCTGGGGATTTTTGTTACTGGCCTGAGTATTTCAGGACAGGCGCTTCTGTCCTCTGAAAGAGAAATGCCCCTTTCACAGCTAGAGACTGGGGTGCAGTTTCACCAATGCTGGTGACCTGCAAAGCGAGTGAGCGGAATACGCCCCACCGAGCCCCAAACCGAGCTGTACTTCCCAGTGTCCGTGGGGGTGGCAAAACCCCAGACCATCAGTGTCCCTGCTCCCTTGACTGGACATAAATGCGTCAAGGAGCGAGACAAGGGAGGTGTTCCTTATACTGAGAGGTGGAATGGGAAGTCATATTTTCCACGATAAGGACACCTACATTGCTAAGGATACTAGCAGCCCAACCCTGCTCCCATCCGATCGTTAGTAACTTTGGTGTTAATATCCCTCCTATCCCTGAACCTTTGTGTTTCTGGAGGTAATTTTGGTAGGTAAGCGAGGTCTGGCTTTGAAGGCGAAGGGAAGATGAGCACAGCGGAAGGACAGGCAGCGAGCTGGGTGGGCGCTCCTCACCGTGAATCCTCCTCAGCCCTCCCGCAGCGAGGGAACTTTCGTCCAGAGCGGGACATTGTGTACCTTAAAGTGTCTGCCCTGAACATCAACGCTCTCCCCGCCCATCTTTTTGCCTCTTAAGTTAGCCGCCCCATGGAGGGCAGCATTTCCCTCTGTCACCCTGAGAGCAAGGTGGCACAACCTCCTCCCAAAACCCGCAGGAGACTTTTTTATCAACGGCAGAGTTTTGATTCGGAAGGGAGACTCGGGGGGAGGAGGGGAATGTCCTTGTCCAGCTGAGATGTGGGGGGATTTCCAGCCGCAGAGCCTCGGGTTGTGTCGGTAGAACTGTCGCTACTAGATGCGACTGCCGTGTCAGCCGTCGAGGCTCTCTGCGCGCTGGAGAAGACCCGGGGAGAGGGTCGATGTCCTTACCTTGGTCAGGGACCTCCCAAGCAGCAAGTGTGACTCTTGACAGCTCACCCTGTCGAGGCCGGCTGCCGAGCGAAGCCCGTCCTCCACCGAGCTGCAGGTTCTGCAGGTCTGTGGGTGACCCGAGGGGCAACTGAAGGGTTGCCCTGAGCAACTGACACCAACACAGAACACGGAACCTCTGCCCACGGAACCTCTGCCCTCTTGCCCAGCTCTGGGAAGGGACCCAGTCGCCTTGCCTGGGCCTTGGGACGTGCCAAATTTCTAAGCTCAGCAATCCTCCGTCGACACGACCTGCGGGTTGGCAGGGGTGTGGGGGTTGCCAGCCGCGTCCAAACCCTGCTGTTCTTTTTAAACATGAATGGCTCAGCTTCCAGTCCCCCCTTTCTCCTTTTCCTTCCCAGCAGGTCCCCTGCTTTGCTTGCCAGACCCTTGCTTGCGCTCCTTCCTCCTTCTTTCCATCCCCCGTACAGACGTTGCCTTGCCTGGGCACTGGTGACACAGAGCCTTCACGGCTCTGAGGCCGGGTAGTGAACGTCAGCAGATCGGTGAGCACGAGGCAAGAAGGGAGCTTGGAACTGGCTTTAAAGGAGACGATGGCTCTGTTTGTTAGCTGCCAAACAGCTCCCTAGGACAGGTGGAGAGCAGTTGGGCTTGGGGGCCCTCAGTGTTTACCTCCCTAAAGCAGCACAGAGCAGTCATCCAGCATGGACTCTCATTGCTGCTGGCTACAATGCCTCCCCTAATGCTAACGGGGTCAGCAATCCGTCTCCTTTTTAGACGGTGCTTTTCACCCACCTGGCCGCTCGCGTGACCTCTGTATTTCTGAGCTAGCACTGAAATACAGCTGCTGGGACCTGCCAGCGTTGTTCCCTCATCCTCATGATAGGAGTAGACCTACATCCCCTGTGGAGCAAGCCAAATTCACCTCCAGAGTAAAGTCTTCAGGCTGGTGGGCCCAAGGTGTACATGCCCACGAGGCAGAGGTGCCTACCCCCTTGTTCAGCTGGGACATAGGGCTTGCCACCAGGACGCAAGCCCCGGCCGGTCCCGTTGGGTTGTTTTCTCACTGCGCTGGCAGAGACACAGCAGCAGGAGCCGGCTGCACCTGCAGGCACCGCTCCCTGCCAGCTTGTCTCCTCTGGGACGCCTGTTGGGACCTCTTCAAGCACGCACCCGTGGAGGATGCTGTCAGGCGAGCGTGTGAGCGCAGAGCTGGTTTTCCTGCTCCTGCCTGGCAAAAAGCACTGCTTGCTGCAGGTGCCACAGGCGTACCTGAGGAGAAGGGGCTCGGGCCAGGAGACGCACTAAATTTCAGAGGTGGAGGAGTCCCTGGGTGCCTGGTACAGCCGTGGCCCCTTTTCCTTTGGATGAGCAGGTCTTCTCCCAGGCGGTGCCCACCCCTGGCTTCTGGGTGGGTGCAGCAGGCTGGGTGTAGAAGCAGCTCGAGAGGAGGCGGGGAGGGCCAGACCAAGGGGAGGACTTTTCTCGGGCGGTTTGGACCACGAGACCTCTGGAGAGGCACGAGGAGGAAGACGCAGAAGCATTCAGTGCTGGCCTGACGCTGACCCTACTGGGGCAGTGGGAATTTTACCACTGATGTCAGTGGGCTCAGGGTTAGGGCAGCAATGCCCACGTACGGACACCTTACCCTTGGGGTCTGAACAAGGAGGAAAAGCCCAGTGCAAGGATATTCACGGGGACCTAATGAAAGGAAGTAGAGATGGCTCTGCGCGGATTTATGCATTTATGCATTACACCGTGGCCCATGCGCAGGGATGGAAAACAAGCAGTGTTTTCCGCTTCCCTTCCCCCCCCACATTTAGAGAGTGTAAGAACTTTTCTGTTTTGTGAAAAGGTTATGCTCGCGCTTCAGGGAGAGCGGTTCCAGAAAGCAGGACGTAACGGAACTGAAACGAAATAGACTGGACGCATCAAAATCAAGGCATTTAATAAAATAAACCATCTTTTTTTCTTCCCTAAAACTTGTGTTAAAAATATGTAAATATACCTTGGTTCAAAACTGAGAGAAAGCTCCTTGTTCTGGGGGCACATAGGAATGTTTCAAAGCAATGAAGCCAACTAGACAAACGTATTTGGGGGATTGGACTGAATAGGCCAGGCAAGCTTTTTTTCCTTTGCTTCTCTGTTAAAAGCATCATAGATGGAATCTTTGGTGGCAGCTTTGGCCGGAGCTGAGATATCTGCGATCCCAACGTGATTTTTTTTGGCTATCCTGGAACTGGTGGTGATGGTGTATGCGTTGCTTCTGTAGCATTTCATGGCAGACATGCAAAAAGTTTCTTTCATCCCTCTTCTGAAGTTGGCATTATACACGGAGTAGAGGGTTGGCTTGGAGGCTGAAGAGCTGAAAGAAACCCAGGTGACGGCCAGGAAGAGCAAGGTGCTCTGTCTGTAGTCTGTTTCCTGCGGGTGCCACAGCTGTACCACGTAGAAAGGGAGCCAGGACAGGAGGAAGACCGAGTTGAGCGTTAAGAACATCTTGATGGTTTTCACTTTTGTTCTTGGGACAATATTCATTGTCCTCCTGACAGTCCTGCCGTCGGTGCCTATTCTCCAAATGTACCTGACGACCTTCTGGTAGAAGAGGATGATGAGGGTGGAAGGGATCAGAAACACCACCAAGAGGTGGGTGGCACCGTAGAGGGCTCCTTCCCAAGAAGCGGGGAGGAAGAAGTTGCAGTGGTGGTCGCTGTTGGAGCCGTAGAAAGAGAAAGCCGGTGATGCCAATACAGCGTCAAACAGCCAGGAGGCCAGGATCATCTTCTTGGCTTTCTCCCTGGACACTTTGAAGCTCAGGGGGTAGAGGATAGTGTAGAATCGATCCACGCATATCGAGAGGAGCACGTATATCTGGACGCCAGGGGTGAGGTACTGCACGTACCTTACCAGCTTGCACATCGCGTTCCCCAGCACCCACCTGCCGTAGGTAAACTGAAGCAGCACGAAGGGCACGCTTGCGACACTGATGAGAAGGTCTGCGCAAGCCAGGGAGACGACAAAATAGTCGGTGGTGGATTGCGTCCTCCTGCTCCTGTGGATCGCTAAGCAGACGAGGGAGTTTCCAAGGACGGAGACCAGCCACAACGCTCCCAAAACCATGCTGGCTGCCGCAGTTTCCCCCAGCCTCAGCTGATACTGCAAGACAGTGTGGTTCCTGCTTGAGGGGGGTCCTATGGGTGACTCGGTCACCCCGTGGCCAGCAGGAGGGGTGGAGGTTTCGGGGTAGCTCTTGTTCTGCAGCAGGAGCAATAAGGTCGGGAGAACAAAAGGAGCGCTGCTGTTATCCATGCTGTGGACAAGCATGGCCCGGTCTTTTGCTCAGGCTGCATAAAGAGAGAAGAGAAAAGGTGCTGTTTAACAAGTGTGTGTGAAAAACCTACCTTAGCCCAGGAAAGGTAATTCTAAGTAGTATACGTGCTACTGAAAGTAGCAGATTTCAGAGAAGCGGTCCGAAATACACGGTGAGACTGTCTGGTACAGCAGAGGCCGCTAAGGTTCCTGGGGATTTTTGTTACTGGCCTGAGTATTTCAGGACAGGCGCTTCTGTCCTCTGAAAGAGAAATGCCCCTTTCACAGCTAGAGACTGGGGTGCAGTTTCACCAATGCTGGTGACCTGCAAAGCGAGTGAGCGGAATACGCCCCACCGAGCCCCAAACCGAGCTGTACTTCCCAGTGTCCGTGGGGGTGGCAAAACCCCAGACCATCAGTGTCCCTGCTCCCTTGACTGGACATAAATGCGTCAAGGAGCGAGACAAGGGAGGTGTTCCTTATACTGAGAGGTGGAATGGGAAGTCATATTTTCCACTTTTTAGATGGTGGTTTTTTTACCTGCCTGGACGCTTGAGTGACCTCTG